ATGTGTTCTTGTTGCAGATTTAAGGATGGTTTCCAGTGAAGGCTTTCACTTGGGTTTTCAACACCCCCTGGAGAAAGCATTCCCGTCGGTGGTGGGGAGTCAGAGCAAAGGGCTGGCCAATTACCCTTCCCATAGCCAGGGTTTTGAGTGTGGACTCCTCACCCGTTCTGTTGGGGGGCTTAAGTTTTTTAAAAACAGCCTTTGTTTCGACGATCCAACGTAGCGAGGGGTTTTACAAAATGACATGCCTTCTGCCAGATCACCACTACTGGGGCAAGGGAGGAGCCAGATTAGATAGGGAAAACACAAAGTTTTTCATGTCAAACACTGCAAGAAGGGCATCAAAGTCCCCTTATAAGGGGCTGGTGGGTCACCAACAATTATAAATGTTACAGTTTTTGTTTGTAGCAGAAGGGAGTCAATATTTTCCTTTGGAAGTTATAGGGTCTGCGGTTTGCACGAGTCTGTACATTGCACTGCTAGTACAGAGGTACTAGTGTTTATACAGAGCTTGAAGAACATCATTTCAAGATGTGTAGGGGTGGCAACGTCTATGTGCTGGGCATGAACACTTTTAGAGAAGCACACAGCAACACCACCTCCTTGCCCTTGCCTGTCTCTTCTCATCCATGAGGTGTAGCCAGCAATTCTTGCAAAATTTTCTGGAGTCCTGTCATCCAAAAATGTTTCAACAACAGCTATCATGTCGGGACGTCGAGTGTTCGCAAAACTATGTGTGAGCTCTCCAACATTAGTAATGAAACCTCTAATGTTGGCCGACAGGATGCTGATAGACTGGCTCCTCATGATGAAGTGGTCAGCTTGAGGTGGTGGGTGTGTAGGGAATGTAAGGTGCCTGCCCTTGAGAGAGGTAGGGTACTGAGGCAGCTGCAGGGATGTAGGTCTGTGGTCATGTATAAGGCCCAATCCCACCTGCTGGGCTGGGATAGGAGTAGCTAAGTGGGTGACGTGTGAGAGTGTTTAGCAATTCAGAGATCCTGCTGGTTTGTTCTGAGAACAGGTCTCTAAACAGGTGGCCCTGTCTGTCAAGTTCCTTTTTCTTCCGACACTGGTCCTCCTTATGTCCTTTCTTGTAGCAGTAATTACACCTGGTATCTCGCAGGCAGTTGTTGGCAGAGTGCCCCTTCCGGTGACAGCGAGAGCACAGCCTAGGTGCCTGGGAGGGTGGACTAGGATTTGTTGCACCTCCTGTGTTTCGCAGATTTGTCCTCAGATTCTGCAGCTGGAACTGTGTTAGTGGAGGGTGAGACGGCTGTAGATGTCTTCCTCCTCCACGTCCTCCTCCACGTCTCTCTCTCTCTCTCTCTCTCTCTCTCTCTCTCTCTCTTTACGATATTTACCACGCAAAATGCCTCCCACCCTTCTCCCAGCACTCTAGTTTAATCATACCTCACCTAACACCACATTAAACGATGAGGGGCGGGATTTTTACATTTCAGATGATCATCTGAACTATGGTGGCAGCACATTTCTGGGAAAACAGTCATTAAATAAGTGACGACGAGAGTGTTTCTTTTCTTGTAATAACACCTAAAAAGAATACAGATTTTGCATTCAAAAACATCGTCACTGGAATTTGAAGGTCATTTTCTTAATCTCTTGCAATAAAGATAACTTACGACAATGAGCCTGGCCTTTTAATCATAACTAATTCTCTCTCATCGGAGAAGCCAGGTATGAATATAAACAAATCAGGAAGAGATGCATTAATGTATAATTATTATATATTTCTTCAGACAATGAATTACTCCTCCATGATGAAGTTGATAAATTAGGCAAACAAAATACTTTGAAGGAAAAAGTAGAGGATAGTATTGCGTCAAGTATTAAAAATATTAAGACAGTTACAGTAAATAATTAATCTGACTCACGAAACCGTAATGACACGATTGCACACAAACCATACCACGGCCGGGGATAGAGCCCGCGATTAGAGAGTGGCTAGTGCGTCGGTCTGAAGTTGTATGACCCTCTGATCGCGAGTTCTATCTCCGTCCGTGGTATGGTTTAATAATTAATCTGAATGTGATAGGAAGACTTTTAAAAAACTTGGTTAGATATATAATTCACAGAGATAACATGAACATAGGTAATCGCATTTACGGAGCTACTTGTAATACAGAGTGATAAATCTTGTAGCAAGCAGACCTAGGCTTAGTTTGATATATACTGCAGTTTGATATATACTGCAGTTTGATATATACTGGACACCCACGATTATCAAAGTAAATACGAAATATGTGTTGGCGACTTTATGGTTACTTCTTGAACGCTATGTGATTCAGTGTCCGCTTATTGAGGAATATAAAGATAGATAATAAACTGTGTGATATGTCAAGGTATCTTATTAATCAAATAAAGTTTCAGACGTTTTCAACTAATATACAATTTTCACGAAAATTTTTAGAAATATATCCATATGTACTCCTGTTAACTCCTTTTTTGTACCCTAGTTTCTAGGCCTTTGTGTATCCAAATGCTCATGCGTTACCCTCTACAAGATGGGTAATGTGTGCAAAAAAGACCAATAGCTTCTGCAGATAAGCATTCTCTGTTTTTTCTAATTTCCCCCCTCCCACCCTCATTACCTCCCCCTCACTCCGTCCCAGATTTCACCCCTCTCTCTTAATCCCTCCCTATCTCTGTACTTCCACATTTTCTCCATCACTACCTCCCTTCCTACCTCTTAGCCTTTCATTGCTCCCTTCTTCTTCATCCTTCCTTCTCGCCATCTCCTACTCTCTCTGTTCCATTCTATCCAATATAGCACGGTTTCTACTGCAGGGTATGATAGCCCAGAGCACAGGCCGGGTAATGTAGCCCGCAGTGTAGCACGGGGATGCCTCTGGAAATGATAGTGCGGCCAGAAGAATGAATTGTCAAACGTTTGTGGCTGCTGCTGCTCAGAAACCCAGGGAAAATCCTGAGACAAAAACAAGTGGTTGACCTTGCTGCATGCACTGGGCATCATAACTCTCTTCCGAGTTCACGTACTCTGTATTTCACTGAAGAACTTCAAACCAACCCTCACTTAAATAAAAGCCTCACATACCTTGCATGAGTATCTTCTTTCTACAAACTGCTACTACTTTGTCGATCCTCTCCAGCCTCTTGCTATGTAGCTTGACTCCAAACCTGGACAGAATATTGAAGAAGTGGCCTGACATTCACTTTTTAAGTTCTTCCTGATATTTTGCAGTGAAATTCCTAATTACGAAATCTAGATCACTGGTAACCTTGTTGTTCGAAGATATACATTGTTAACCATACATAATGCTGCTTATGATTGCTTCAAGAACCATTTTTTTAGTTATGTCTTATCTAGTGACATTTAAGATTATTATTTATTAGTCAGATTTAAGATTATTATATATTAGTAATATTTAAGATGTGTATATGCAAAATTTACTTTCGTCAACACTGAAACTTATCTACCATTTGTCCAACTACGGCGTCAACCAGACATTTCTCAATGATTATACAATCAGTTTTGAATAACGCGCTTTTAATGTGTTTAAAACACAGAAAGAGAAACAGAGACAAGTATCAAACCTAGTGACAAGTGAGCCTAGTATCAATTTCATACCTACAGGCTCACATCAACCGAACAACCTCTGCAGCAATGCGCCTTTGACAAATCTGAGTACCTTTCAGGAATTTCACCAATGAGCTGTATCAATAGGTTATTATTATTATTATTATTATTATTATTATTATTATATATTATTATATTATTATTATTATTATTATTATTATTATTATTATTATTATTATTATTATATTATTATTATTATTTATTATTATTATTATTATTATTATTATTATTATTATAATTATTATTATTATTATTTATAGTGAGGCGTGTCTTAGCTTTTTTTTATTTTTTACAGCCATTGTGTTTAGGCTGCCCTAGTCAGGTCTTCTGAACTAAAGGAAATCAAACAAGGGCAGTTCTGGTCCATATTTCGTCTGCTACATGAGTGAAATAATGAAGACAGCTTTTGGGAGACGTACGATAAGGCTCTTGGAGCAAGGAGAGAGAGGAACTATTAGCCACTAGCGAAGAGTTGTGTCGAGGAGCTGTGAACTGACCCCTGGAACCAGAAATAGGTGAGTACAGTGTGTCGCGCAGTGAAGTCTAGGTAGGTCTAGCACAACCCAGGCGGTAGCACAGGGTTAGTACCATGACACGAAATATAAAACCCAACAGGGCTTACAGAGCTTTTCACTGCCTATATATATTTGTCAGGCCCGTCTTAGATTATCCAGAACCAACATGGTACCCACTACTCATTAAACAACATAAGACACTGGACAAAGTGCATAGACATACATCGAGACTAGTCCCAGGGTTAAGAGACAAGAGCCGAGACGATCAGCTAAAGAAATAAAGTAGAGAATTTTACAGGAAAGAAGAACAAAAAAAAATGATAACAGCATACAAGATACTCATTGGAATTTATAGGATAGAAAAGGTATGACTCTTTGAAAGGCGAAAAAAACGTAAACGGGATCACAATTGGAAGTTAAAGACACAGAAGTGCCAATGGCATATCAGGAAGAAATTATTCTGCTTTGAGGTGGTACAGGAAGTGGAATGACTTGAGGATGTGGAAGCAAACTCCATACATAGTTTTAGGAGCAAGTGCGACAGAGCCCACAAGGGAAGGGATGTGTAAATCTAGCAAGCAGCAACTTGAGAGGTGTAGCCTGGAGCTGAGATTCGACCCCCACTGTCTTCATGTGGGTTATTAATAATAACTTATTACTGAGCATATACAGATAAGTACTCAAACATGTGTACAAGCACATACATATAAACTGTGTTACTCACTACATGTCAAAAAATGGAATTCCCAGTAGTAGAACGAACAGAACAAAAAAGTGGGAGTCGTTCTTGGAAAAACTATGACTGGTAATACTTACCTGGCGGGTCTGGTGAGTGGTATATAAGGAGGCATCACCCTCAGCTTGACACAGTCGACCCAGAGATCCTCCACAACCATGAAGACTCTGGTTAGTTACATCTTGCTATTTTATACTAGTATTCTCAACAACTTTATATTTGTCGCCATATATTTTTACTCACATATATTATTTATCTAATTTCTCAAGCATATTAAGCATCTCTCTTCATAAGAATGAGGACGACCCATCAAATACCTCAGTATTTATGAAGGATACGTCAAGCACACTTAAATTTACAACTAACAATATATAGTTAATATTCTTAACAGATGTAAAAACTTACATTGTTAATGTATTGTGCTTATAAAAAACTATTTGTAAAGAACAATAACTTTACACAGTATTTAAAACAATGATCATCTTTGCACGACAGTAATTAAATAATATAAAATGTGTTGATCCACCAGGTCTTTGCTGCCGTCCTGGCTGCCTTCTGCTTGGTGGCAACAAGCGCTGCTCCTGCTCCAGATGCTGAGCCTGGTCACTTTGGTCATCGAGGATTTGGTGGAGGCTTCGGTGGCTTTGGAGGCTTCAGGGGAGGATATGGTGGCTTTCGATACCGAGGAAAGAGAAGCGCTGAAGCTGATCCAGAGGCTCTAGCTGAGCCTGAAGCTGATCCCGGTCACTTTGGTCATCGCGGATTTGGTGGAGGCTTCGGTGGCTTTGGAGGTTTCGGAGGCTTCAGAGGAGGATATGGTGGATTCGGGCACCGAGGAAAGAGAAGCGCTGAAGCTCTCGCTGAGCCTGAAGCAGATCCCGGTCACTTTGGTCATGGTGGCTTTGGAGGCTTCGGTAGTTTTGGAGGCTTTGGAGGCTTCCGACGCCCTTACTATGGATGAAAAACTGCTTCCTCGCTCGACACTCTTTCTTGACTATGACTGACGCTCATAAAATGTAATTTTGTTAATGCAATAAAGCAATTATTATGTTTTAAATATTTCTTTCTATTATCCAAAGCGAAATTTGGCCAACTTTCAACATGAAAATATTTCCAAACACATAATTAACTTTAGAAAATTCGTTCTTAGTAAAATAATTACACATAACAACACAAGAAAATTGACGAGTAATCTTTCATTGCCTTTGTGAAATTCTAAACCCTAATGACAATATAATTTAAAAAATAATTATGATAGCAACTAAGGTAACTATAAGCTCATATTTAGACTTAACAATGAGTCCTGGACACATAAGGGTTTTGTGTCACCTTAACACTGTTCTCTTATTTAAGTGACACAGTCGTCTAACAATATATTCGACCAATGGCGGCTTCAAATTTTTCACTATAATTTAAACCTATTACTTGGTAAATGTTCGTGAAGGAAGTGATAATGTGGGTGATCTCTGTTCAATATTATGTAGACCTTCCCGAACTGGTTTCCATGAGATAACTTCAGAAAGCCTCTTCTGATCGGCTTCAGAATCTCAGCAATGGTGTATCATACGTAGAAGGTTGGTGTTAATGGAGAGTGTTGATGCTATTTTCTCGCTTTTAGTCTCAATATAGTATAGTAATATTTTCATGACTTAAGTGGATTAAGTTTTTTGAAAAGGGGGAGGGGCTGCCTTGATGCTAGTCACAGGCTCTTGATGCAAGGAAGTCGACTTATCCTCTCTTTCTTGGATCAAATATGAATGCCTCTCATTCCACAAACACTACGTGTCCTCTACGGGTTTAGCGCTTTGTCTTAATTAGAATAAAACAATTGTGATCGTTATCAATCTCTAATGGCGGATGAATAAAATGAATGTATCGTTATTTGGGTATTTGTTGTTTAGGTATAAATTTTGTTGGATTCTGTGCAGTAATTATTAATGTATTTTCCTCAACGGAAACTTTCTCCTCATTTTTAATTGTGTGTGTTGTAATGTGTCAGTTTTATTAATGAAACTGGTTTCTGTTAAGTAACTGGAGAATATTTATCCTGATCTATTGATCATAAATAAATATCATTGTTTGACTTTGTTGGGCTAACTTAGGTTAAAGATATATAATAGGCTGTTTTCTGCCTGTTCAGTCTGTGTACTCTCAAGACCATTGTGCGTTACTTAGTGAAAACTAAAAGTTCTGTCAAACCTAGTCAATCGTACTTAGAGTAAAGTTTGGATTGGTTCTGAATTGTGTAGGTCCCATATTGTTTTTAGAGACAGGGAAAGAAAACGAACTGGGAAAATTAAAATAATGCGATCATTTTTCATCCCTTCAGTGCTGATAACCTGATGATGCAATGTATGAGCAGCTTCAGGCTTAATGTGCTGGATTATTTTAGGACAATTGTTTCATCAGTTTAGCTTCAAAGTTACTTAGTCTTAGTAGAAGTACTGATTTGGATATCGACTATGTATGTACTAATTTGCCATTTTTAGTGAAGAAACTAGAATATTAGTTGTAATGTGAAGTTTTGTGAACACTGTAATGAT